ACCGCTACTGAATCAGCCGCTCTGTCAGTGCATGGCCTTCGCCTAGCAGCGGGACCGCTTCTGAACCGGCCGCTCTGTCGCGTCGAGACGAACAGTTCACCCGTCTGGGGCGCCAATTGGAGCAGCCGGTCAAAGCGGACGTACTCATAACGCGTTCATGGTGCGAATTAGAGCAGCCATTCACTTATGGTCAAGTCCCCCGCCGGGTGGACAGCCTCAGGCATTGAGAGTGCATGGCAGAGGAAAAATCAGCACGAACGCCAGTAAGCATGACGCGCGGCGTGCACGAGCTTAGCGACAGCTACTAGTAGGGTGCGCGTCCCACCCATGCCCGATTGGTACCGGGAACGAGGCGACTTTGTCGCAGCTATCAGCGTCACGGCCCATTAACGTACCGACGCTATAATGGCCCGCACCGCCGGGACGCACTCGTCGTGAGCCATGGGCCCCGTGTCTTGCTGGTCAACTCCTTCCGGTATGGCATCTATATCACGGACTTTACCATCGTTATGTATCTCGCTTTTTCAGCTATAGTAATTAGTAACTGAGCCTGCAAACTTGGTTTCGCACCAACGTTTGCGCTCAAGGTTACCTTATGCCTGCAACATTTGCTTGTTATTGTTGGCTTTGTTCTTCAATCGACAAAGTCATGATGCTGCGTCACATCGTTATGTCTCTATTCGATATCTTCCCGGTTGTTCAGAACCATTGCGGTATTATGCCTCATCATTCATCGCTGATATGTGCATATCAAAGGATTCGCATGGGTCCGCATCTGTCCGCCCGAACTGGACGCTTAAAAGGGTGTTCCATATTTGAAGATATCGATAATTTTCCATCAGATTTGATGAAAGAAGCTCACTTGTAACTATTGGCATGCTTTTAAGTGCACGCTACTATTCTGCACTACAAGCTTTTACTATTAAGTAAATTTGTTCCTAAGTACTGCAACGTTTAATTACGCTATGGAACGCTTTCATGACGTGAGAGTCGCTGCCAGTTTGGCCGCGCCAGGATTGCTGTTAGCGAAAAGCTCCCTCGCTTGTGGTGCTTAAAGCGCCGCAAGACAACGCTGGTATCTGTACGTGTAAGCTTATCTAATCAGCGGTATGTGCGTGTGTTTTATCATCTCTCGCGGCGTGCTTGTGTATTTGTCCGCAATGGCAAGTGTTTTCATTGCGCCTGCATTCTCGGCTACGGCTATCCGCAGTTATTCTTATGTTATTCGACTCCCAGCCCCATGTCCGTCACAACTAGGAGAACTGGCCAAATGCTTGTGTTATGCATTGCAACCGTGGTACGCGATCGAGGCACGCGTTCAGGGGCTTTAACTGGTTGCTAGCCCACTGTTGTCTGCCGATGCGGCGATTCATGTTATCGCGCTCCAGTCACGAATTTTCTGCAAGTCATTATTTTTTACCTTGAGCACGGATGGTCACTGAGGCGGGAGAATTCGTGAGACGTTTTTATGGTGTCATACATGCAGGGGCAGCTTCGAATTAGGCATCGCAATAGTCTACACAAATTCGCACACGTCTAGCTTTGAAACTGGAGGACTTGGTGCCTTAAAACCGTATAATTGTGAACTGCAGGGAGTGATCTTGAAAATGGCCATTTATGTTGAAAACCCCATACAAATACAGACTTGTCATTTTAACCGGCCGGATACCTCAACATGAAGCTCGAAAGGAAATTTCAAATTGTTAGCCAGGATCTGGTTACGTAAAACAAAATAACGAACCTTCGCTCCGCTTTCCTCCAACTTTCCTTTCTTATAGCGTTCATGGATACGACGAGCCAGTGAAACTAAGTCCTCCATGACACACGTGCTGATGAGCGGCATGAATGAGTGGTATGTACGTCATATATTCTCGGACTCGCTGCTCAAATGGATATCTACATGATCCTTACGCTGCTAAGCGTGTATCCCGTCTGCTTTCCAGGTCACAACCTCAGCAATATAGCTTCTAATGCATCTATTTACGGCCACCAAAGGCCGAGGTTTGGAGACGTGGTGCCATTGTGGTATATCTAAGCGGGGGCGACATCCCACAATGGCCCGGCAGTCGACCCCCGGCTGAGGAGCCGTTGTCGCCAGCCGCCCGGGCGGCGGCCGCAGCGCCTGGCTGTACTGAACAATGCGCCATGTATCACGGTTGCGTGCTGGCGGGCGCGATCCATTGTGGCTGGGCATCGGTCGCGAGCCAGCGCTCCTGTTCCACCATCGGACCGGCCGGCGGCGGGGGCGGCGGCGGCAGCGGCGGGGGTAGCGCGCGGACAATAGGAGGAAGCGGACGGGCCGGTGGGGAGCGCAGTGTCGGGCTGTGACCTGCGCCGGCTGGCCGGTGCCCCCTGACCTGGCCCGACCGGCGGCGGTCGCACGCAGCCACACTGCACCCCACCCGGCCACACGGCGCCGGCGGGCGGCCCGACCGTGTGGTGCCTACCGCGGCCGCACCGTCACACCGGCCCAGTGCCATGGGGGGCAAAAGTGGTGAACGGGCGCTAGTGACGGCGCTGGACACCAAACTGCCACACGACTGGCCAACTATCGGACGATGGCAAGGATGGATCGGGTGTTAGACATCCGAATACAGAAAACACGGCTGTCGAGGGGGGCCACTCCGCGACAGGATGAGGCCACCCGCTTTTTCGGGTGTCATCCGGGCAGTGACCACCGTCCGGCGTTTGAGGGTGAGACTACCCAGCGGGCAGTAACCGCAGTCCGGTGTCTGGGGGGTAGACTGCCCAGTGGGCAGTGAGCGTCGCACGCCAGTTCCGGGCCTTCAAAGCACACGCAAGTAAACGGAGGGGCGGCGATGAAACCCCGCGTATCAACGCTCTCCCAGAGGATGGTCTGGGACGACAGAGGAAGACGATCCCCAACCGCGGTGACCATCGCAGTGTGACGGTCGAAACAGTGGGGTCGGCCGTCAGTTACGAGTCAGGGGGCACCCTGCCGTCACGAGGCACGCGTCATGGCGGCGGCGGACGTGCCGCTGAAGCGGCGCCGCCCGCGTTGCAGTCCGACAACGACGGTCAGGTGGGAGGGGCGGCCTCAGGCCGGGGCGTTGTCTTGTGAGCATGTTTAGGTGCTGAGACCTCGTGGCAGAGCCCAGCTCAGCCACGAGGTCAAGATGCGTAATGGGAGCAGAGAGGAGCCCTTGCCTACCATTGGACGACATTCAACTAAATCAGATAACAACACATGGAACTAATCAGAGCAGGAGCAGCACCGGCGACGCCCCGCCTTCACGATAACGAGAAGAACCAGGCCCTCTCGGCGGGGGGGGGGCGTGACAGCTCCTGGAGCATGTGCGCCGCTCCCGGCGGACGGCGCTCAGCCGTGCATCACGGTCGCGGTGCTGCCCCGGCGGCAGCGGCTCGTGCCAGGCGCAGCGCTCGTGATCCCGTGTCACTGCCCGGGGCGGGAAGTCGTGACGGAGGCGAACGCATGGCGGCCGGCTGGATCTACGCCGAGTGAGCGGGGGTCGCCGACGGCGGTTGGTCCCAGGCGGGACCGAGTGGCCTTCCTCAGGGGCGGCTGGAGCTCTTGTGTCCCGGATGGGCATTGCATTACCCTCACTTGAATCGCAATTGTACGCGGCTTCGTTCCGTGCGGACAAAGAATTAAAATTGTTCACGTGCCCACGCAGGGAAGCCGGAAGACGTTCAGTCGAGCATCAGTGCTGAAACCATACCCGCTTGGCCGAATTCAATACGATGCTCTGCTGCACAGAGCTTGGTTGACTTACGCCGTGGCGCATGAAAGTAATGGAATGGTGAGTTGTAAGGTTCTAAGTGCATTTGCGAGGATCATTATGCGTGGGTAAGACAGTACTTACAGCCTTACTCCTGGTAGAATACCCGGGAAAATGGAGAGATAACGTGTAACAGTAGTTTGGCTATATGCCTGTATCGAAACGAACATCGGTAGTAAATTCAAACTAATTAAAAACGAAAAAGAATATCACTAGCAAATTTATAATTGGCTACTGATATTCATTTCAATGAGGGCACGTTCCGGAAATATTAATGCATTTATATCCTCCTTTTCTGGTTATTCTACGAGGAATGAGGCTTTCAGCACTGTCCTATTCATGAATGGTGAGCTGCAGGTAGGTATATACATATGGAATACATACAAAATGTAGGTACATGTTCACCGCTTTAGGTGCATACAGGACGTACTTTGGTCGGCTTAGCAGTGTTTCGCTCACCTGAGAAAGGATTTCTTATTTGGTAGTATTACGAGTCGCTTCGACAGATTGTAATGTTTAAAACTTGAATCGCGTCGTCGTGATCGCGATATTAACGAAAAACAATCAGAAAAGGTTGCAAAAAGAAAAAGTTGCCCAATTAATATCGAAAGTGGATATGAACAGACCCCATGAGCTTCCGAAAAGAATCCATTCGTTGTGCACGTAAAAATATCAATTGATGGAGCAGAAAGGCAGCAGCTGTCCTCACACTGCTCCCAGCGCCTCTCACCGGGTCCTCAATCTTTGGTAATATCATGGCTGAACGCCTGGCAGCCCCGGGGTGTATCCGATATTATTGGGCTTGGGTGGGTACGCCGCTGACCCTGTTGCTCATGAAACAATGGAACCCTGGACCTAGATTTTCCCCTGTATGACTCCGGGTGACCTGGAATGCCCTCGTTTCACTTCGGTGTCCAGTGGGAATTTTCTTTCGAGTGTTGGGTGGTTTGCATGATGACTTGAAACGTATCAATGATCACGAGCTTCTGCAATTCCATTCGCAGGGAGAACGACGCAGAGAGAAGCGGTCTTTGGTGAAAACTTGTTAAAAATCGCTCCTTCCGAATTACAGCAGCAATTACATAACCGTCTCCATATCGTAGCGTTAACCTTGCTAAACCACAATAACTACTGCATCCTCCGTTTAAACAGCAGCAAAGCAACTCGATGAACAATGGAACGCAACCCAACGGCGCTTGGCCCTCAAGACAACCAGACTCTGTGCCCGATCTGGCCCACCTGCCTGGCAACGTTGTCCACTCCTCGCCTTGCACGGTCCGCAGCCAGACGCGACCACTCGCCACCCGACGGCTCCTCGCCAGCCACTGAGGCGGACCTTGAAGGCGTGCTGCGCGGCGGCGGCGGCGCCCGCTCGGTCGAGCGCCTGGGGGCGCCGCCAGCTGGCGTCCGCGGCGCCTCAGATCTCCGCCGGGGTCAGCTGGGGGACCACGACTCCGGCGGTCTGCGTTAGAGCGCCTCCCGCCCTCAGGCCTGCGTTTTGCGCTGGGAATATATTGACGGGGTGAATGCCCGACCGCGCACTAATAGCTCTAATACCCAATGAGATCTTCATAAATGCACTGTTTGTCGCGTGGTGATAACAGCTGTACCGCAGTGCTGTCCGGCAGTCATTAGAGTATTATGCGACCACCCAGTGGCCGACACGCCCGGAAAGACGGACAATTACTTTTTAGGTTTAGAACTAGCCTTGGCGCCTCCAGCATGTTTGTCTGACACCACCATCCAATCCATGAAATTGTGGGTCAACAGAACAATTTTGCTTCGCATGCCGCAATGCTCGGCACGGTCCATCCTGCCCTCTGACGTCATTGACCTTTTGCGCGGCCGCTGCCACCAGCCGCAGGCCATCGCAGTCAGGAGCAAATAACAGGCGCTTGAAGCGTTCCGACCCCACCGCTCTATAAAAGACTATGGTCATCATTATACATGTCCCCAGCGTTCTCACATGCCACAAGAATAGGACAAAATACAAGAATACGACAGATAATTAAACTTAACACGCATATTCATTGGCCTATCGACTGTGAATAAACAGATAGCAAGAATACAAGAATACATAGCAAAAAATCGCACCAGTGAGAAAAAACTAAATGTACAGATAGCACCGTTTAACCAGTTACACAACTCAGTCTGCCGTGATGCAGAGCTAACTTGCAATGCACTCAGGCCGTCGATTGTCTCAAAACATGCCAACCACGACGCGTGACATACGTAACGGGTTGAATCCGGACACAAATTCAAACTTACTCTGTTGATAGTCAGATGCAATAAATTTCGCATTAAACTACGTTAATTAATCGTGACCAAAGCATGCTGCACTTGAATTTGGGTACATACTTATCCTGTTCCCGAATGGTTGAGGTTTTAGCAACGGCAATCACACTTTAAACAACACGACAAACAGGCACGGGATACTTTTGTGACCATGGCAATGCCATTTCGTCTACACAACTGTAAGCGTTCCAATTTGTCTGAGAGATTTCCACCGTCCTCATTAAGTCATGTGTCCATGGGTATGGCGTTCGCTACTCCTGTATTGTCACGTAATGTTGTTTAACTGTGACTGTACTGTACTGTGATGTACTGTGTAATTGTATCCACGGCATATACTGTACAACTGTGACTTTACCGCCCGGCTGTAGCAAACATCTACCAGCCGTACTCTATCCACTTCCACGTTCTATCAATGCTTACTTTCGCCAACGACATCGGGGAATTAAAAGAACAGCACTGAAGCAGTGACTTTTTTTATGATTCTCCCTGTTTTAAATCCACACCCAAAACTTTCTAACATAGTTTAAAAATTGTCCAGCAGTTGGGGTGGCTATTTTTTGCATATGCAGTGTAACATATCCTTATGGTAGACATTTAGACGGACTACAGGACATTCGGCGGCCTGGAGTCGTAGTGACACTGGGCCAGAACATTTGACTGAGGCAAGGGCGTGTCACTGTACCGGCCCACATATCTGCGCTCTGGTGGGCAGCTGACTATGCCCTGTAAAGTGCATTACGGTGTAGCATGTGCCGCAGTGAACTTTCAGTGCAAGAAACCGTTTTTTCATTTGTTTGTTTCACTACTGTGGCGCCACCTATGATCCAATATCAAAATTTTGACCATGGCCGCACTCCGCTTGATGTCCCCTTTCATTCTTTTTTAAATAAAGCAAATCGGACTGTAAGTCATTTCTGAGCACAAACTCCGTGTTGAACATCTATTTCTGTTTACGATATTAAGAACAACTCTGGTGGCAGCCCATATAAAATTTGACACATATTGAACGCCAAAAAAACCTTGAAAATTTTCGAAATTTCGAATTTTAAGCAATAAAAGTAATTAAGCACTAAAAATAAGCTATCCTAATGCTATTTCTACCTAATTTATTTTTCAAATCACGAAATTAGGTTAAAAGAGGGAGAAAGATACCGAGTTGATAAAAATAAAACTTAGGCTTAGTGTGCCTTTTTTGTTTATCGCCCAATTTTGATAAATTGAATATCGGCGTGTAGCCCGATCGATTTCCTTTTTTTGTTTTGGTCTCACCCCGCTAAGTTAGCTAGAACAAATGACACAGCCGTTTTAGTAGAGGACTATAGCGCACCATTCGGGGTGCGTTATGGTCCTAGGGGGCGCGCTGGGGTCCTTTTAAACTAGGTTAGGTTAGGTTAGGTTAGGTTAGGTTAGGTTAGGTTAGGTTAGGTTAGGTTAGGTTAGGAGCAGACCCCTCAGGGTCTAGCCGCACGACCTCTCCGTCCCTTGAGAGAGGAGCTCCACGCCGCCCACCATCAAGGCAGCTCTCGCTCTCCCCTGCTCCCTCCAAACGGACCCGCACGCAGGCTGTTAAAACGCGATGCCGCCCCACTGCACGGAGAGCAAGGTGGCCTCGCTCCCTTCCCCATAACTGACCTTCCCATTCAAGGAATTCGTACTCCAATGGAACACCAGATCCCTATGCTCTGTTTACCGTCAGAAAGAACGGAATTAATGCTGGTCAATCAATTCGTCACGAGCATTACGCTGAATTGTTTTCAAACCCAACAAAATTGGTCGGAAGGCCTACAGGACAGCATTGCGGATCTCTCGAATCAATAGCAGTTTTAGATGTTTGCATTGTTTGCAGCAACTTCATGTTCATATGATTGGTCGAAATGTATATATATATATATATATATATATATATATATATATATATATATATATATATATATATATATATATATATATTTGGCACTGTGGTTATTTTCGTTGGCAATTATTTTTACGTGCTAAATTCATTGCCTACCTTTGAAGCAAGTTATGCTATACTTTCATTCGGTAATTGCTCCAAACTGGTGCTGTTTCATGAATAACATGGGAAAATCCCAAACACGGAAAATTAATTCTCTCAGTTTTATTGAAGGTATTCAACAAAACGCTGAACATTCAGCTGCAGATATATGTACAATACATCCAGCTCAAACGTCCCACACGTAACTACATGCCACATCCACGTAAAGGCAACGAAGTCAGTTGAAAAGAACGAAACGGAAACACTTCTCATGGTCGATGTGTCATACTGTTCTCATTCATCGTTGTCGCTGCCGGAGTCGGTGCCGGAGTCGCTGCTATCATCGGTCGTTACGACAACCGGTGGGAGATCTTCTAACAGCCCGTCATTCGTCCAGTACTGCTGCTCCAGCCTTTTGACGTGCTCACAGCACTTACTCCAGTCCTCTGGAGAGACAGCTGCGACGCCTGCCTCCACCAGCCGTTCCACCTCCTCCGTCCGCCCCGTCAAGTTCCCCCGTCTTATCACGCACTTCATCTGTGCCCACACTAACTCTATCAGGTTCAAGTCGCAGTGATACGGCGGCAGGCGAACGATCCGATGACCATGATCTCTAACAAGGTTGTCCAGAAAATATTCCTTCTTCCGGTTCTGGGACTTGACTAGCTCCAGCAGCTCCACCTTACGCATGTCTTCGTCGATGGTCACACCCGCCTGCTACAACCACTCCTGGATTTCCGCTTTACGCCAGCTAGAAGTTGGCACTTTTTGGCACAAACGGGAATAATATGAGGCACTATCTATGGTGATCACAGAGTGCTCTGGCACGTTCGGAAGCAGGCACTCGGTGAACCACTTCTCGTAGCAGTCGGCGTTCATCGACGTATGGTAGTCGGCGTTCTTGCCATCGGTCCTGAGGTGGAGGAGTGCGCCCAGTATAAATCCTTCTGAAAAGCCGGCATGGACTATGATAAAATGTTTTCCTTTTCCAATGGCGTTCTTCCGTCCGTTGATTTGACTACCATCCAGCCACGCCAAATTCTCCATATCGTACTGTCTCGTCGGTATAAATAATTTTGCTATCGGGAACTTCTTTACGCGGCCTCTTCATCTCCCGCAAGAACTGGCATCTCGTTGCTGCAATATGAGGTTTCTCGATTAGGATCTTTCGCTTGTCGATCCTTCGGTACTTAAATCCGTTCGCGAGTAGGTGTTTTCTTGCGGTGGATCTAGACATGGTGACGCCGAGCTGTTCGTGAAGAGCATCCGTGATGGTGTCCAGAGTAACATGTTTTCCGTCGATGTACATTTGGTGTACCATTCTCCTCATCGCGCAAACATCAAACGGATCTAGATCCACCCTTGGTCTTGCTGCAGCTGGTCGGGATCGGCTTGGTGACTTCAGTCAGGCACCATTCTGGGCTTCATGTTGTATGCGGTAGGCTGAAGTCTTCCCAACGCCCATTACAGCTGCTGTTCTTAATAATGGACTCTCCCGGACGGCGTCGTCGTCTCCTGCTTCAACTTCATGTCCCGGTCTTCGACAAAATGTTGATACACACTATAAGCAATTTCCCTACTTTGTGTCCCAAGAACCCTTCCAGACGCTAGTTTATATTTTTCATTCATTGGTAAGTAGGTACTAAGGCATATAAAAGATAGAAAAAGACAATGAAATATACAAGTAAAACGATATAAGAACTTTTCACTGCGTAAAATATTACCGCAACACCAAAGTGATGCCGGTCATGATGCCTGTAATTTTTGGGCTACAGCACACTCGAATAATGACTCACGCGCAAAAAAAAGCGTGCAAAATCGTTGGCAGCACTTTAATTCCGTTCTTTCTTACAACAAACAGAGCATAGTATCCTATTGGAGCGAACTCAAAGAATATATCATTAAACATACACCATCGTTTGCCGCTGTTGAGGAGACTATTTTTAATGACTCTAATTCAACGAACTATAACCTTAATATCCGAAATTATTGCCTCCATACCAATAACGCAAATGACACACGCCGTGG